TAAATCAGTGAAATTTAAACCCAGTGAAAATTAGTCATTTTACAGTATTAAACATTTTGTTTTTTGTGTGTTGATATTTTTTTCCATGATATTCTATGGGTTCAAGTGATTCCACATATAAAATTGTTATTTTTGTTATTGGTGTAATTATACTATAATTATACATGACATGTGTGTTTACAATACAGTGTTCTAATTTGGTAAAGATTTACGGAAATCACCAATTTAGATGAAATTGGTAATATTTATATCTGTGTATAATATTGTTAGGATTTGAAGATAATGATTATGCTCTATTGGGATTTAAGTAGGAGGTGTGAATACCGAGGATTGTGAATAGAATAAATTGAGTTGTTCTGTTCAGGTGTGCTTAAAGTGAGTGTCCCCACTATGTATTCAGATACTGCAGTCATCACAAAAGGTTTTATATTTATGGCTAATATACTGTGGATAATATATGATATTTCCTTGATGTGAAGTGCTATTGATATTTGTGATACAGCCGACCTGAATCTCCTGGTGGTTTTATTACCAAAAATAGCACTAAAAAAGGGAAAAAATTACATTGCTGCTAGTAATGTTGTTCAGATGATTATTAAATTACGTACAGAAAGCCTACAAAATAAGAAAAGAAAAGGTGAAAATCAATTAATGTGTTGTTGTGCTATATTTTCAGTGTGATTTAGTTGTTTATTTGAAATCTATTATTGTATTGTACAGCAATTACCAAAACTAAAATGTCAGATTTCATCAAGGATGTAATAAAGCATTATTCTATTCTATTCTATTCTATTCTATTCTATTCTATTCTATTCTATTCTATTCTATTCTATTCTATTTTAACAATTTCAGAACATATTTTTCAAGTAGCTTTAACCATACTAGAATGTCAGTGATGTCAATATGATGAAATTTTATTGCAGGAATGCCATAAAATCATCTAATAACGATAATTTCTGGCAGCAAAATTAAGTGGTTTACGATATTTGTGTTTCTAGTTTTTGCACGCATCAGTTAAAACGTGCTTGTTACAGCTTATTTTTTGTCCGAAGTAAAAAGGACAAATTTTCACAGAAAATGATAATAAAAGCACACATCTAAGAATAAAAATAAAAAAGCTGTGATTTTAGAATAAAAATTTACCAAATTTGTTTCTCTTTGCCAAATTCAACAATTGCAAACTTAACAAATTTGATACAGGTGAAGTTGAGTTAGCCTGAAATCCAGACATTTTGTGTACACTCAAGAATGGTCTGGTGAACCACTATGTAACTACGTAGTCGGCACAGAATTCTGTGTCATCATTGATTGGCTGTCTCAGTACATTCCTGTGGGAATGCGCATGTGAAGGCTGTCCCATATGTAAGGCCCACCCACAGCACTCCAGAATGATTCACTAGTCAGTATATTATTGTTTTTGTCAAAATAGTACGATCTCACAAGTAGAACAAAGTTTGAAATCAGTTTTGTTGACCTAAATGATTATGTGCACTGCTAGTTTAACAGTAAACATAAAGCTGGATTGCCCAGTGAAATTGTAACTTTTAAATCATTATCATTATTTTAAATATCATTATCAGTTGGTATAGTCATTTCTTAGTCATGCTTTGACTGATTACTATCAAACTTGGTACACAATTAATTCCGAAGCATTTATCGAATATGACTGACTGATTTTCCCAAATGCTGTAGTTTGAATTGTTCTCCACCTTAAATAGTCAGATTTCAATAACACTATGTATGATGATGATATTGAATCCTGGGTTGCATATTTATGTTATTATTTCCTATCATCTAATACATTATGGCTAACTGGCAGCCATTTTGTTCTGTTTTGTTTTCACTATGTTCATATTGTTTTTCCTGTACTGGTATATAATAAGATGTGATATACGTGTTCAGTAAACAAACAAACAAAGAAAACATTGTATGATAGTGTGATACATAAATCTATGTTTTGTGGCCCAATCAAATTAGTCTAACTGACAAACATGTAAATCCTAATGCTGTATTTGCCCTGTATAGAAGTGTGTTGCAGTAGCAGAATAGAACACAAGTTGCGTTCACGTAAAGCTAGTTAGTACAGACTAAGAGGTAAAGCATTAGCCTGTGCTAGAAAAACATGCATGAACACTTAGCATTGGCTAAAAAACGATAAATACAGAATAAATCTGATTTGTTTGAAGGCCTGTAGCACGGGTTAACAAGGTACTAGTATTGTTTTATAACCACAGAAATATCATGTTATTGTACTGAGTAATCATATAGTTAAAAGGACTGAACATTTGTATATTCTTAACAAGTTTTGGTGTTTCTTATTTTGTGCTAACCACTTTTTCCTCCCATTTGTGAATACAATTGGATCAAGCAAATATGCAAACGTATATTTTAGCTTAAATCTTAGCCCATACTTGGTGTACCATGAACACGACTACTATAAACCAAAAATGGAATTTATTGTATGCTAGATCATTAAAATATGACTTAGTTTGAGTAAAGACAATTAATATGGTAAACAAACTTGCTTGCAACTGTTTCTGAGAGTTCAAAAAACTTGCCCTGATGACAGTGCATATAATTTACACTAATTTGTTCTCATGTTTTTGTTCTGGCAGGTGAGATTGCAAGCACAGAGTGTCGCTACGATTAAGTACAATGGCGTTTTAGACTGTATTGTTAAAACTTTCAAGCGTGAAAGTGTAAGTATATTGTCTGAAGTCTTTGTTAAATGTCATCACATTCATCATTGCGATAGTGTGATTATCATTTTTTATTTAGTTAAGAGAGTTTATTGTGTGTTTTTGTTCATTATTTCCAAATTTTACTATTTCATGAAACAATGTTGTCTGATTGTATCTCAAATATAAATATATATTTATATACTCATCCAAACTGAGGCAGTTCATGAAGTGTATGAATTGAATATTTTATTTATTTATTTTATTTATTTATTTTATTTATTTATTTATTTATTTATTTATTTATTTATTTATTTATTTATTTATTTATTTATTTATTTATTTATTTATTTATTTATTTATTTATTTATTTATTTATTTATTTATTTATTTATTTATTTATTTATTTATTCAACACTAAAACGAACTACAGTGAGTTGTTCTATGGTCATATAACAACAAAATAAAGATACAATAAAATAAAATAAAATAAAATAGTATAAGATTAAATAAACTAAACTAAACTATACTAAGATACAGTAAAGTTAATCAACTACACAAAATGCTAAATAAAGCTAAATAATATTACAAACATGCAAAGGATCATAATAAACTTATACGGTACAATACAATATACTAGCTAATATTGTTGAGGTAAAAAAAAAAATCACATTAGAGTCATAATTATGGTGGAAAGAATATTTTTAGTTTAATTTTGGTGGAGTTGCTCACATCTCATTTGCATACATTTTTGTATATATTGTGCAGTTCTTATTCCTGAACAATATTTCATAATTGCCTCGAATTTTTCCTGTTCCTTTAACTTATTAAAATTTAGTATAATTTTCCTACAGTACTTGAATAATTCAATTCTGTGTGTATTGTACAGACTGCAGTCTATAAGGAAATGTATCTCATCTTCAATCTGCTTTTTATCACAGTATTTACAGACCCTTTCATTCCTTGGAGTTTTGCAATGCCTGCCAGTTTCAATATGAAGTTTGTGATCAGAGATTCTGAACTGGCATAGGGCGTGTCTCAGTTTGATATTATTCATTGTTGTTAAATATTTTTCCATTTTAAACTGTGTTTTGAATGTTCTATAGTTTGTCAATTTGTTTGTTCCACCATTTGCTCTGTTGTCATCAAATAGAGCTTCTTTCCATTTTATCATATAATTCTCTTTCAGTAAAGCAGAGAGATAGTCTTGGTTTGAAGTGGTTTCCTCTTTTTTATTTGTTGTTTTATTGCATTATTAAGATTGTTGTCACTGATTATTTTGTCGACATTTTTTGTCCACCCAGTTTTTACTGTATTGACCTCATCAAAGGTGCTTTTTATTAACTTGGGCATCTCTGGGAGTTTTGATCTGAACCAGAATTTAATTATTTGTGTGTTAATTTTTGATATGGAATAGGCTTACATTGAAGATAACAAATATTATTATACATACATGTATGTCATCGTAATGCCATAAGTTACAGCATGCCGTAATTTTCTGGCATTTACGGGGTATTTTCATCCTACCATATTAGTTTATGCGAATTCCAAATATGGAATGATTACACACGTAAGCGTCCTCTAATAATAAAATAAACATGGCTGCCACCTGAGTTTGACAGGACTCCACATAAAGAAGTTCACTGATTCTGTTCTAAACTTTTTGGATTTCAGCATTCCCATGGTGTATCCTTGGAAGGAAAAGATGTATAATAATAAAGTTATTACGAGGATACCCCAACGTATGCACTCGGACAGTACGCTGCGCATCGACCTCCGCTGCACATCGGTCGATACTCCAGCTGTACTGTCTTCGTGCATACTTTGAAGTATTCTCGTAATAACTTCATAGTATTTCACAATTTGTGGTCTTGTATTTTACCAAGAAGATTGAAAAATCATAAATCCAATGTATAAGAACTTTGTATGTGTTTTTTTCTCACTATTATGCATATATATTTTTTTCAGATTTTTGGTTTTTATAAAGGGATGGCATTTCCCTTGGCAACCATCTCAGTACAAAATGCTCTTGTCTTTGGTGTCTATGGCAACACTCTTCACCAACTTTCCAAGTGGCGTTATGGTGATCCAAACAAAGCTTCCAGTAATAGCGACATATTGATAGCTGGATGTGTTGGTGGCTTTGTTCAGTTGTCCCTGGCTTGTCCAGTTGACTTGGTGAAAATCAGACTTCAAATGCAAATGGAAAAAAGAGGTAATATTGAAAACAGTGTTTATGATGCAGAGGAGGGAGAGGAGTGGAATAAATTGTGGGAAAAAAACGAAAATGAAATGTGTTTTAGACAAACGTGGATGCATCTACAGTAGTTAACCATTGAACATACAATAGCACATGTGCTATCACAATAGCGTGATCAGTCTGGGCTTGTGAAGAGTTGGGAAATGGTGAATATAGGGTTCCATCAAGGATTTTTAAGAAAAAGGTATAAAATTAGTGAGTCAGTGAAAGATTTTGCTTCTCGTCCTAGGGACATGCGCCCTCTATTGGTAATTTGTGTGTAACATGATGGGTGTGTTTGAGACGCTGCACATGATTGGATAAAGGTAACGTTGTGTTCTGTAAAGTATCTGATTTTTAATTTTTGAGTTGTGGGTGTTAAAAATATATATATAATTTAATATTTGATAAAGGAATTCTCCAAAATAGCGTTTCTGTTATGGTTATAGCATTCTAACTTTTTCTTGTAGTTTGAATAGGTTTTAAAGAATGTGCAAGTAGTCATTGTGAATTTGGTATACAGTCAATATGCTATCGTATTTATAACTGTAAATGTTCTGAATCTCTCATCAGTGGTGTTGATTTCAGTACTTATACCACTAATTAGATTTCCATAGAGAACAATGTTATTTTCCAAAATAACAGCTTACAAAGATTTTCTGAAACCATTATAAAATGTTTTAGATTTCTGGCCTGTTTTTCTGCTTGAATTGATAGAAATTGGGTATAAAACAAAACACAACAGTAACCTTTCTTTTTTCAAAAAAACAACCAGTTTTGTAGTGTTAAATCAACAGTCGCCTAGATCCACAAGGTCACCGTTATTTGTCAATAAACAAAGCTTCACACAGGAGTAATTGAAGTAAGTCCTTACATACACATTTCAGATAAAATTCCAAAAGAAAAAAGTTCATTTGATAACAACAACTGTATGGTTTGATTGAACTCTGATAGGCTAATTAACGATACGAGACATTAAGTTTGAAAAGTCTAATAAAGTTCTTGAATATGATACAATATCATTAGACAAGTAATTCCCCATACAAGGAAAATCCAAATAATTAAAATCTTTTGAGTAATTAATAAAAAGCTAAGAATAGATGGTGCCCTAAAGCTGAGAAATTAATTTAGGATTATCTCTAGTATACGTAGGATGATATCAGATTAGATATTATGCAATAAACAAAGGCTTGATTTTTAGATGCATTTCAGTAAAGTATTATAATGTTGGTGAGACCCCCCCCCCCCCAGAACTTCCAGGTTTGCTTTAAACCAACATGGGCACCCAACCGCATGTCCTATAAACGTTTTGAAAATCAGGTGTACTAGTTCACATTAGCCCAAATATGTGTGTAAAGTTTTGTAAGATTCCATTCTATAGTTTTTTTCAAACAAGACTATGGAAAAATCGACAGAAGAAGAAAATTAGAATGTTAACAAAAAGGCTTGGACCCTTTGTGAATGTTTCAAGATTTTTAACCATTTCATCACCAGTGCAGAAAGTGTAGAAAATTTGGGCGAGAAATTCTTGTGGTGAAAGGGTTAAGAGTAAGCTGCCCATGTACTGTAGAATACCTAATTTTCGCTATTTTCGCTGAAGGAATGATTCAGTGAAAATAAAATCCAGCGCATATACATTTTTTCCTATGATTTACATTCAACCTGTCAAAAATCAGTGAAAATAAATTCCATAGAAAACACTTAAAAAGTGTGTTCAGCGAAAATTAATTCCAGCTAAAATAAAGTATTCTACAGTATACAATTTTTGTGCAGGCTTACTAGTATTTGATTGATAAATGTCAATTTATTATAGAATCACTGCTTGATAAGAAGAAGATTCACTACAAGGGACCAGTAGATTGTCTCCGCAGTATTTGTAAAAGTGAGGGAATCCCTGGATGCTATCGAGGACTTACGATCATGCTAATGAGAGATGTTCCAGCCAATGGAATATACTTTCTGTCATATGAAGTACTCTGTCGTAAGCTGACTTCGAAAAGCGGTAAATCTCCGAGTCCATTTGTTGTACTGCTAGCAGGAGGATTGGCCGGCGCTTTATCCTGGGCTGCTATTAACCCATTGGACGTCATAAAGAGCAGATTGCAAGCTGATGGGGTCAAAGGTCATAAATATAATAGCATCTATCACTGTGTCGTTGATAGCTACAGGACATCTGGGTTGAGGGTGTTTTGGACAGGACTCACTATTAACTGTCTGCGTGGATTTCCAGTGAATGCTGTCACCTTTCTCGTTTATTCACTGATACTGAGAGAATTGGGAGGACAGAGTAGAGCAAGTGACACATTGTTGTCTGAATAATAATCTTAATTGTACATATGTCATTTATTGTATTTAAATAACGAATTCCAAGATTACGAGGACAAGATGTCTATTGTGAAGTCATCATTACTGAAGGGCAGTTGTTTTCATGCCTGTTTATATTACAGCAAGT